TGGGTGGGGTGGCTCATGCCTATAATCCTAGCTACTCAGGAGGCTGAGATTTGAGGGTAATGGTTCAAAGCCAGCCTGGGCAGGAAAGCCCATGAGATTCTTCTCTCTAATTAACTCTCAGAAAACCAGAAGTAGTGCTGTGGTTCAAAGTAGTAGAGCACTTAAACAAAAGAAGCTCAGAGACAGAGCCCAGGCACAGAGTTAAAGCCCTGGCAAACAAAACAACAACAACAACAACAAAACATTTTTTTTTTTGGGTCCGGTCGTGGGGCCTGAACTCTGGGCCTGGGCGCTGTCCCTCAGCTCTTCAGCTCAAGGCTAGCGCTCTACCACTTGAGCCACAGCGCCACTTCCAGCTTTTTTCTTTTTGCTTATGTGGTGCTGAGGAATCGAACCCAGGGCCTCATGCATGCAAGGCAAGCGCTCTACCACTGAGCCACCTTCCCAGCCCCAACAAAACTTTTTTAAGAAATGAATGAATGAATGTAGGAATTGTCTACTCAGAAGCCTTCCCAGAATAAGAAAGTATTTTTGTTGTTGTTGGTACCTCCCTACCCCCCAGTCCTGGGGCTTGAACTCAGGGTTTGGGTACTCTCCCTGAGCCTCTTTGAGCTCAAGGTTAGTTCTCTACCACTTGAGCCACGGTATACTTCCTGCTTTTTCTTTTTTTGGGGGGGGGGGAGGGAGGGTCCGGTTGTGGAGCCTGAACTCTGGGCCTGGGCGCTGTCCCTCAGCTCTTCAGCTTAAGGCTAGCGCTCTACCACTTGAGCCACAGCGTCACTTCTGGCTTTTTTTTTCTTTTTTGCTTATGTGGTGCTGAGGAATTGAACCCAAGGCCTCAGGCATGCAAGGCAAGCGCTCTACCACTGAGCCACCTTCCCAGCCCACTTCCTGCTTTTTCTGAGTGGTTTATTGGAGTTAAGTTTCACAGCCCAGGCTGGCTTTGAATGGTGATCCTCAGATCTCAGCCTTCTGAGTAGCTAGGATTATAGGCATGAGCCACCAGTGCCTGACTAGGAAACCTTTTTAAGCCTTGTCTTTTTTCTTTGTGCCTGTCTTGGGGCTTGAACTCAGGTTCTCATGTTCTTGTTTAGCTATCCTATCAAGTCTGGTCTTCTACCACTTGAGCCATACTTCCTCTTCTGGATTTTGCTGGCTAATTGGAGTTAACAGTCTCACAGATTTTCCTCTCAGCTGGCTTTGATCCTTGATCCTCAGATCTCAGCCTCCTGAGTAAAGATTACAGATGTGAACCACTGGCACCCAGTTAGATACTTAAAAAAAAATAGGAATTTTTCTCTAAAGGACAGTTTTCAGCAGGGACTCTTGTCCTAAAACCTGGTAGAATTCTTGGAGAAAGCCCCAGGGCACACATCACAGAGAGATACTCTGCAGCTGTACTGTGAGTTCAGGAAAAAAAAAAAAGAAGACATCTCTGAAACAAGAGCTTGTTTTAATTGTGGCCGTGAAGAGCTAATTGATCTCTTGTAATTGATTCTTACAAACTGTATTAACAGTAACAGGACAGCGGAGGATTTCAACTGAAGCAGGATCTGCAAGCGGAGGCCTCAGTTGCCTGCCCAAGGAGAAGTCTTGCTAGAACACGGAGAGATCAGATCAGCTGTTACAGAGCTTTGGGCCATCAAGATGGCGCCCAGCACATACTGCCTGGAACAATGTAATGGCAGCTATGGCTCACTTTGTTCTGACTCATCCCTTACTCCTCATTTGCTTGCTTGCTTTGCTCTGTGCATCTTAAAAGTCCAAGAACAACGAAGGCTGGCTCCTCAAAGTTAAATGCAATGAATAAACATTCTGGAAGACTCTAAATGGTCTTTGGACAGCAATCCTTTTTTTTTTTTTTTTTTTCAGTTGGTTGTAGGGCTTGAACTCTGGGCCTGGGCTCTGTCCCTCAGCTCTTCAGCTCAAGGCAAACACTCTACCATTTGAGCCACAGTGTCACTTCTGGTTTTCTGGTGGTCCATTGGAGATAAGAGTTTCATGGATTTTTATGCCTGGGCTTGCTTTGAACCGGGATCCTCAGATCTCAGCCACCTGAGTAGCTAGGATTACAGGCATGAGCCACTAGTGCCTGGCTGCTTCTTTTTTTTGTCTTTTTCTTTTCTTTTTTAAACCTATAGGAGGACTGACTATACAATTGCCACTTTCTTTTTGTGTGTGTGCCAGAACTGGGGCTTGAACTCAGGGCTAGGATGCTATCCTTTAACCTTTTTACTCAAAGGTGGCATTCTACTACTTGGGCGACTTCTCCAGTTCCAGGTGATTAATCTGAGGTAAAGAGACTCACATACTTTCCCACCCAAGTTGACTTTGAATCACGATCCTCTGATCTGAGCCTCCTGAGTAGCTAGGATTACAAGTATGAGCCACTGGTACTTGGGCAAATATGGGCAAATATCTATTTGAAGATTGGCATATGATTTTAAAGCTGATTCCTTGATCAAATTCCCAGTTCAGCAATCAAACTAGGCTATCTGAGATTCTGGCTGTTTTTATGGTAGCTTGGTAACCTGTCTGTGGCTCAGAACCATCTAGCCAAGATGTGGGATATTAAAAGTTAAGTCTCTCCCTCTTCCTCCCTCTTTCTCTCCATCTCACTCTGTCTCTGTCTCTCTCTGACTCTGTCTGTCTTAGTCTCTGCTCTCTCTGTCTCTTTGTCTCTCTCTGTTCTCTACAGTTTCCCAGATGACTGCCTGGCAACAGAAGGTAAAATGACCTCATTCATCAGAAGGAAAGAGGAGGCAACTTCCAAGACAAAAGGTGCTCTGAGCAGTTAAGGCAGTGATTTTCAAGTTCCAAGAAAAGCCGGCAGACAAGAGCCTAATATGTGGTGGTAATAATTATACGGTTGTGAATGCCTTCCACACATATAGCAAATGAGTCCCAGACGACCAGATCTCATGGGCCCCGACACACAGGGATTTGTGTGAAGGAAAGACGGTGGCTGTTCCCATTGCCCCAAACCTAAGGCTGCTTAGTACTTTCCTCCAGTATCCACTGACACACCATTGTTTGGTTCATAAGCAAAGGTTTTATTGCTTACAAAACCTGATAAGACAGACAGCCCTAGGGTTCAAATGTTTGCAGCATTTCCGAGTCCACAGACATTTCTTACTTTCAGAGTTGCCCTCTGGCCTGCATACAGCTTTCTTTTGTGCATTCCTAGAAAACTTCAGCCCAAGAACAGTTTAGAAGTTGCATATCCTTAGCAGTCCATAAACTACGCAATGGAGCCAATGTAGCAGATTTAAAAAATAACAATAAGCCTCCTGTTTTTATTTTTTATTTTTGGGTCCGGTCGTGGGGCCTGAACTCTGGGCCTGGGCACTGTCCCTCAGCTCTTCAGCTCAAGGCTAGTGCTTTACCACTTGAGCCACGGCGCCATTTCCGGCTTTTTTTTTTGCTTATGTGGTGCTGAGGAATCGAACCCAGAGCCTCAGGCATGCAAGGCAAGCACTCTACCGCTGAGCCTCCTTCCCAGCCCCAATACCTCCTGTTTTTGTTGATTGGAAGTGTTAAAATGTAAACAGTAGTCAGGCACTGGTGGCTCATGCCTGTAATCCTAGGTGCTCAGGAGGCTAGGCTCTGAGGATCTCAGTCTGAAGCCAGCCCTGGCAGGAAAGTCCATGAGACTCTTATGTCCAATTAACCACCAAAAACAACAGCAACAACAAAAAGCCATAAATAGAGCTGTGGCTAAAATGGTAGCGTGTGCTAGCCCTTAGTGGAAAAGCTAAGGGAGAGCTAGGGGAGAGGACCAAGAGTTCAAGTCTCACCACATGCATGTACATGTGTGCACATATGCACAAATTCTAAGCAGTGTTTTTTGCTAGAAAGCGGTTCGGGGCCTTCAGGGTCTGGGTCACCCCCTCTGAGAAGGCTCTGAGTAGGCCCTGACTCATCTTGGGCAGGGTGGGAACAGCACAGGGGGAGCCCTAGGAGCTATACAGACACCGGGATCCTATTAGATGACACTGTTCCCACACCTGGGGTGACTTTCTAAATCCTGTAATGACTGTCAGAACAGATGTAAGTGCATTAAAAGTCGTTCTTAATGTAAAGGTTTTAAAAAAGTGTTTTGCCATTTGAGTAACCAGATCTTGGCCTGTATTAAGTTTCGGACATACCAAAAGCTTCCAACCCTGCGGGGGAAGGGGACAGATCCTTTTCCTTATTCTTTGATAGTTTTGGAGTTGGCAGGGAGGTGTCAATCCGGAAAATCAACTCTTCCGAGGGGTGAAGGACCCTCCGCCCGTCTCCCAAATCCCGCCAACGCCAGAACGCAGGGTTTGGGGGAGGCATCCGTCCAGGCGGCGGGTCTCGGATCCCGGACCCCGCGGGTCAGCGCCTTCCAGGGTACACAGGGGCTCTGGCACCACTGAGACCTAAGTCCGGCCCTTAGCACCGCAGCCACGCAGCAGCTGAGAGCTCTACCCCCGGGTGCGGGAGGTCCCGGCGGACTGTTGCGGGGCGTTCCAACAACCTTAGGTGGGGCGACCCGACCCAGTCAGCCCAACGCTCTCCGCCCCGCCCACGCGGGCCGCCTCAGCCCACCAGGTAAGCCACGCCCACTCCGCCTTCTCCAATCCGACCTCCTCAGCCGGGGCCTCCCCGCCCACTCCTCCCTGATCCCCGCCCATCAGGCTGGTTTAAAAAGCCACGCCCACACTTGTCTCCGCCCCTCCAATCCGGCCTCCTCAGCGGGGCCGTCCCGTCCATTCCGCCCGATCTCGTCTCAGCCCCGCCTATCAGGTTGATAGGCCACGCCCACTCTTGTAGACACGTCTCCTCCCCGCCTCCTAGGCTTCTCAGGTTAGAGTGGCCCGCCCCCTCCCGATCCCTTCCACGATGGCCCCGCCCCCGTGCTTCGGCCACGCCCACCAGGTCCCCTCAGGTGGGGCCGCCCTGCCCCTCGGGCCTCGGCCCCGCCCGCTCCGCGAGCACCTCAGGTGGGGCCGCCCGGCCCGCCCCGTTCGCCCGGCAGCGCCTGGCCGCTTCTCCTCGGCTCCCCGCGGGCGGCGGCGATCTAACTTTTGACACCGAGACGGCCGAGTCGCGCGCGGGCTATCTCAGGCCGACGGCTGTGGCGGCGGCCGACCCTCGAGGGCTCCTCCGTCGCTCCCCGGCGCCCCGGGCCGGGCGGCCACGAGGCCCCGCTGTGTCCTAGGGCGCTCGCCGGCCCGGAGGGAGGCTGCAGCCATGTCGCGAGGTCCGGAGGAGGTGAACCGGCTCACGGAGAGCACCTACCGGGTGAGCCTCGGGGCGCCGCGCGGCGGGGCTCGGGGTGCCGGGGGTTCGAGGCTCGGGACGGGCAGCCCCGGCCAGGCAGCGCACACAGCTGTGCTCCGGGGAAGGAAAGGTGGGGACTCTTCACTTTCGGGGTGAGAAGGGGGCTTTGGGCGGGAAGGGCCTCCCCTCCCCCTCCGGGCCAGCCCGGCGCCGGGGACGCTCCACCGAGCGGCGCATTTTACGGCCGATTTGGGGTAGGGGAGTAGTGGGAAAAGTGGGAGGTGGCCATCCTGTGCGGTCCTCGGGGGTCCCACGTCCTCCTTCCTGCTTCTCCTTGGGATCGGTGATCGCCCCGGCCTGGCTGGGCTGAAGCACCCTCCCCCCCCACCCTCAGCCTCACCCCCTCCCACCAAGAGCAAGGAAAAGATCTAGAGTTTCGACAGAGCCAGAATGTGGGGGAGAAACTCCCCCATAATTAGGAATCGCCAGGTGAGTCTGGCTTTCTGGGTCCGGAGAATTTTCTAGGCTAACTACTCTTGGGCAGGCTGGAAACGCCTGTTTGGTTGTTCTTTTTTTTTTTCTTCCCCTACCAAGCTTTAAGTTGAACCTGGCTTTTCTACACCGATGATTGGCATTAAAGAGAATCGAGTTTTGAATAAATTTGACCCAATCTTATAGACTAGCAACACTCGATGAGGCTCTTTAACTTGCCTGTTAGTGTGATCGAATTTTTCCAGAAACTCAGAGGATTAGTGGTCGGTTTAGTAAGTTTTAAGTACTTATAAATGAATTCCAGGTGAAATAAGATAGGAGTTTAATCATCTACTATTAATAGAATACAAAACAACTTTTGTTTTAATTCTACTTAGGCTCCTTGAACCCCTGAGATGGAAGGTTCCCTAAATGCATTTGTAGCCAGAGTAGTTAGTCATTTTTATAGTTTGTTGGGCTTTACTTTTTTTTTTTAACGCTAAAATGAGTTTCTGAATTTGCCAGGTCTGAGCAAGTCTCCGAAATCAGTTTATTGACCAGCAAAAGCTGGACAAGAATTTTAAAATAGCGTGCAAATATTTTCATAATCTAGCCATTGATGTCCAGAAAATTATCCATTTTTTTCTTCAAACACAGAGTGGATACTGTAACATATGTAACTTTATAGTAGGACCAAATAGAGACTTCACTGACACAGCTAGCAACTGTGACTCTTAATAGTGTGTCTTCTTCAGATCAGGCAGTTTTCAGAGAAATGCCAGAAATGTGGATGTTTAAAGCCTGATGTTAGTAGTAGTGAGATTTCTTGTATATAAATGAGAATGGTAGGACCAGAGCTGTGGGTACTGATAAAGAATGTAAATAACTCAGACTTGAGGAGTACAAGTTTCTTGGATTGACAGGACAGGAGAAAACTGTATAACAGAACTGCAAATCATTGCATATGGTCGGTGATGTCTCAGTTTCAAAAATCTCACAGGCCCACCCAGACCCCTCAAACAGGCTTGTTTTTCCATTCTGAAATGTGAGTGTCAACTTGAGATCACCAAATGGGCCCTTCTATTTAGTTTTTGAGACAGGTCTCACTGTGTAGTCCAGCTTGTCCTGGAATTCAAAAATGCTCCCACCTCAGCCTTTGCAACTCTGGGCATACAGGTGTGCACTACCACACCTAAGCAGATTTTCAGTCTTTGAAAGGGTCTAACTCCTAGAGATCAGGAAACAGTACCATATTGCATTCCAGATGTCTCAACATTTACCCAAAGCTCACTAAATGTTGATTGTTTTTAATCATCATTTCCCAATTAGTGTTTTGGGATCTGGGTTAATTTTGTTTGTTTGCATTTATTTATTTATTTATTTATTTTGAGGTGATGAGATTAGAATCCCACAGTGGCAGAGAAGTTTATATAAACTAGGAAATAAAGTAAAGCCTGCCTGCCCTACCCCAGGGTTTAGCTCTAATAGAAACAAACTGTGAGGTTTTTCATTCACAGATCTTGACCAGAAGCCTGAACATTTCTACCCCTTCCACACCCATCATCACAGCTAAAAACAGTGTACGCAAAATATGGCCAAATTCTGCAGGCAAATTGGTGGTCAACCTAGTTCTTTTCACAACACATCTCCTACTTGTTACCTAGTAAGTCTACAGTGTTTCATGAGTGGAAACCTAACCTAGCCAGATATAATTATGAAAGCTCCCTACAAATGAGATTTTTATGAACTCCCGTATGGATTTTAGAAGTTTCTCTCTTCCTTCCTTTTTTAAACACTGAGATTTCTTTGAAATAAAAGACTAAATGCTTTAGAGAAGAGGGGAGGCCACTAGAAAGTAGCCTGATCCTGTATGCAATATCAAATATCCTTAAATACACATTTGTTGAGTCTTCTAAAATATGTACGTAGACAAATGGTTACTGGTGATCTATGCTAATCCTCTGGGAGGGTGTGTGCCTTATAGCTTCTTCAAACAAATGGCCCATAATAAGCCCCACAATATCAAGTCTTGTTGCTGCTGCTAATTTCGGTTCAGCCCAAGATCCCTCCCTCTTCCCACACTTCAGTCTGTAGTGGGGCCATAATTTGCTCCTCAAAAGCTTGCTTGTGCGTTTGCATGGTTTTCCGATGAGTCCTTGCTTTAGTGGGAGAGTACAAGGTGAAGCTCAAAAACACCCTTCATTAAGGGCAGCCACAACCTTCCTAGAAGTTTAGAACTGTTACCAGTCTTAGAAGTTGGATTGGAAGAGTGTGGCATCATCACAGCATGCCCTGCTCATGTGACTCTTGCTAAGCTGTGAGTGTAGGGGACTTAGGCACTTTAAGGGAGTGCTTGAGGAAAGGGTCACAAAGTCTCTGAATGTCACCTTCTCCAGGAGTCCTGCTCAAAGCACACTCTTGAAATTGCCAATAAACTCCACCGATCTCTCAACTCCACCTTTAGCAGTTACTTTACCTTTTCTCACCCATAAAACTTACTGCCTTAGAATATAAATATACTAAATGACATATATATTTATGATATTTGTTCTTTTCTTTCCTCTCTACCTGGAATGTGAGCTCCCCACCAGGCAAAGAGTTTTGTCCAAGGCCAAGCTCCCAGGACAGTTCCTGATGTCTAGTAGTGATATTTGTTGAGTGAACATATCAGCTTGTTAAGCCAGGCTCCCTGTGCCCTCTTTTGATACCCTTCTTTCCCCCTTCCCCCCCCCCCACCCCCCCATTTTGTTTAAGACAGAGTCTTGTTTTGTAGTCCAGGCTAGCTTCCATTTCAAAATCCTCCTACCTCAGCCTCCTGACTATTGGAATTACAGGTGTGCACCACCATACTAGTTCTTCCCTGATACGTTTCATAGAAGGTTTCATTTTATAAATCTGCCCTCAAGGTAGATGTGAGCTCTGAGTGTGTATGCTATTTTTAAAAGTTGAGACATAGAATCTGTGAGTAGCCAGCTTCCCACTGGCCATTTGCTATCCCAGCCTCCAAAGAGCTGTTTGTAGTGACCAACAAATGTATACACCACATGTTTTCTTAATTCAGTGATATACATGACACCAAATTATGATGACAGACATGTCATCATAACCTCCTACCCCCAGTACTGGGATTTGAACTCAGAGTCTCACACTTGCTAGGCAGGTTTTCTGCCATTTGAGCCACTTCATCCACCCCACCTCCTCCTTTTTTTTTTTTTTTTTTCTTTAGTTATTTTTCAGATAGGGTCATTTGTTTTTGCCCTGTGTGGCTTCAGATTCTGAGCCTCCTACCTGCAGCCTTTCATATAGCTGGGACCACAGGCATGCATCATCATGTACTGGTTGTCAGTTAAGATGGTGTCTCCACTAATTTTTGCCCAGGCTCACCTTGAAATTTAATCCTCATGGTCTTCACCTCCCAAGTAGCTGGGATTACAGGCATGAGCCACGATTCAGTATCTTAATCTTTTTCCCATAACTCTACTTTCTTCATGTGCTGAAGATAAAAATGGAATTTGCAGAACCCAGACGGCTTGCTCTTGGCTCCATGAGGACTGAGAAGGTGATAGATAGCAAGAGTCAGAGAACAAACAGCAGGATGGGCTGCCAACTATTGAATGTTAATCGGAGCAGCCCAGTATTAGTTTTTTTGTCTGGTAAGATGAAGTTTGTTTGTTTTTTTTTCCCCCCTATCAAAAACTTTTTTTCCTTAACAAGGAAGAACTTTTTGAGCTATGTGACTTTGTTGTGCAGTTTTCAAAATTTGGGAGTCTGGGGGTCTCTTGGAGAGATGACACCCTCCCTAAGTTTCAGGGTTTTTTAAAATTTTTTATTTTATTTTATTTTTGGTGCTGGCCCTCAGGCTTGAGCTCAGGGCCTGAGAGGTGTCCCTGAGCTTTTTTGCTCAAGGCTAATGCTCTACCACTTGAGCCACAGCTCCACTTCCAGCTTTTATTTTTTCTGCTTAATTGGAGATAAGAGTTTCATGGACTTTCTTGCCAGAGCTGACTTTGAATTGTGATCCTCAGCTCTCAGCCTCCTGAGTAGCTAGGATGACAGGCATGAGCCAACAGTGCCTGGTTTCAGAAGGGCACTTTTAAGTTTACCTAAAAGCATTCATTCTCCCTTGCACAGACCCATGGGGAAACATCATGTGCATGGAGTAGCAGCAACTTTTTTTTTTTTGTCAGTCCTGGGGCTTGAACTCTGGGCCTGGGCTCTGTCCCTCAGCTCTTCAGCTCCGGGCTAGCACACTACCACTTGAGCCATAGCGCCACTTCCAGTTTTCTGGTGGTTGATTAGAGATAAGAGTCTCATGGACTTTCCTGCCCAGGCTGGCCTTGAACCAAGATCCTCCTGAGTAACTAGGATTACAGGCTTGAGCCACCTGCACCCAGCTGGATTTTTTTTTTTTTTATAACATTCCACATGTCTTATTTAATTGTGCAGTTAAAAAGTAAGCATTCTTCTAAAATCTGCATACACATTCATTTAACTTACCTGCTGGCCCCAGCAATGTGGTTTTTTTTATTTATTTGTGAAACTCGCTATTG